AAAAACTATGTAGAAAATGTAAAACAGTAATAAGATATGGAATAGAACACAAAAATAAGCATGAAATTGAGTTTGTGTCTGTATGGAGAAGTGTAACCCGGGACCATGCTATTTTCAAAGAAAGATGTTTTATTTGTATTATGTTTTTTTTTATGAAAACCCAAATAATTTGGAGGAAAAAAAAGAAAAAAATCTGGGCAAAATTTTCCTTTTCTTTTTGTTCTTTGCATTACTAAAATAGTCCTTTTCTATATCTACTTCCACATTAAGATCTCCCACAATGCATACATTATCTTGTCCCATCTCAACAATTTTCTCATGTAAATCCTTATATAGCTTTGATTGTCGTTCGGCACATAAATTATAACTAATAACATTGGCTTGTACCCTAATTCTAATTCAAATATCAAAATTCTCCCTTGTGGGTCTACGTATTTTTCTACTGCCTTAATTTCTTTTTTAACATATACTGCTATCCCTTTCTGTTTTTGATCTGCCAGGGCTACAAATAACCTTCCTAATTTAGAATATTCTAAACATTTCCAAAATTGTTTTTTAATATGGACTTGTTGCAGGCATACTATTTCTAATTTCTGTTTTGGCTAATCTAGATAGTATCTGTTTCCTTTTAATGGGTGAGTTTAGGCCATTTATGTTTAATGATAATAGCTTTGTTTCCATTTCCGTCTTTCTACTTGTGGGATATTATCTGTCTTTTGTTAATTCTAGTCTCTCTTTGTGGGCGTGTTCTTAATCTTCTTCCTTCAGTCTCCTCCTTGTACTCTCCTTCTTGTTCTAGGCCTCCTGTATCTTGCTGTTGTTGTTCTTCTTGGCTTTCTGTCTCTAGCTCCTCTCTACCGTTGCTTTCTTCTTCTGTTCCTCCAATTTGCTCATAGAAATCTTGAGCCTTGTCCAAGTTATCTATCCTGATCATCTTTTCCTGCCATGTTACCAACAAGCCTTCTGGAATTAACCATTGAAACATTATGTTCTTCTGGATGAGTTGTGTTGCCAAAAACTTATAGTCTTTTCTCTGTTCACGCACCTTCTTGGGAACCTGCTTCAGAGTGTGCACTTCTTTATCTTTATAGACCAACGGTTCGTGTTTTCTTGTATATTATGTCACGTACTTGTTCCCTGGCAAATCACATGTGGACTTCCCTAGGTAACCGGTTACGTTGAGCGTAGCTCGTTTAAACTCTATAAGTCCTCGTCAATTTCAAGCAGAATCTCTCGGGTCTCCCTTTGTAAAGCTGGTGCAAGTAATTCTGCCATAAGCACATTCAGATCTTCATCTCTACTTTCAATAATATTTTGAAACCTCAAGTAATAAACAGCATGGTCCATCTCTAGGTGGATAATCTGGTCTTCTAATCTTTTGTTTATTGTCATCATCCTGTTGTCCATTAGTTCCACTTTCTTTTCATTTTGTACTGTTCTAAGTTGCACCTCTTCTAGTTTCTGCTCATTCTTTTGCATGGTTTGCTGTATACTATCAACTTTGTCTTCTAATTTATTAATATTGCCTTTCAATTCTATATGATTTTGCAAAATATTCTCTTGCGTTTTTATCTGTTGTTCTTGCATTTTAAGCATAGTTTCTTGAATGGTCATTAACGAAGCCTGTATTGTTTGCATATTGGCTACAGTTTGTTTTTCTGCCCCTGACATTCCCTCAATCGCCTTTTGACCCGCCAGTGATGTAATTGTCAATGTTGGACTGGATGTTGTCTTCTTTGCCATTCTCCAGGCTGATGTCATGGCATTTGTCTTATTTTCAAGCTCTATTTATTTCTACCTATTTTATTATTTCCTTTACAATATATTTTAAACTAATCTTTTACTTTCAATTTGTTCCTTCTTCTTTTCAAATCTTTTTATTCTAATTATATAGACTTAGCACCACTTATTATCCCTTTGTCTATCTCAAAGTCAATATCACTATATATCTAACAATATCCTACTCAGACAAAGCCCTCCTGCCTTTCCTTATGCACAATGTATTAAATTTATTCTTTTTCCCTTTTATCTATAATAAAAGAGGGAATCTAATTTCCATTTATATAATCACCTAGATATACACTCCCCTTAATCTCTTAATATTGTAATCAGAACTTATTTATCACTATATTTCCTTAATTCAATAAACAATACTTAATCAAAGTAATTATAATCTCAAATATCACCCCAATAGAAAAGGAAGGACAAAAAAGCTCCCCCTTTTAGTTTCTTAATTCACTTTTAACTAAAGAAGTAATCCAGTAGTCAGGTATTTATCAATTGAAAAATCTATATCTGTATATATCTATATATATCCTACTCAAGCACCCCTTTTCTATTTCTTTCTATACACAATGTATTGTAGTTTCTCCTTTATGCAATAAAAGAGCGGTCAAGGTTTAGGTTCTCTGTACTCACAACAATATATATTCTTCTTAAACTCTTAATATCCTACTCTAAAATTATTTATCACTACGTTTCTTAACCCAATAATCCTATTTAGTCAAGATAACTAAACCATCAAGTTATTTCAAACTAAAGAAAACTAAAGAAGGAAAAAGCCTCCTTTTTGATTTCTTATACCCACAATCGCCTTAAGACAGTGGTCTAATAGACAAATACATTCAAATCATACAAGTCATACAGATCATGTTAATCCTATAAATCAAACTTATATTTCAATACCAGCCTATTTTGTAATCTTTAAAGTTTACAGTTCATACACCTCACTCAAAGTTTTCCTTTTCTTTTCTCTCCAATCTCACTGTCTCAGTCCAAACTGTTTTCCACTCTCTTCTCTCTTCCGCTTTGTCTTTCTACTACTCCCTCCAAGTCTCTCTCTTTATAACTCCACTCGTACTTTCTCCGTTTCTTTCCAATCTTCCTTCGTCGTCTCTTTCAGCCCATTCTCCGCCAAATTGTCTTCTTCTCCGCTCCCTTTAATGTCCTGCCGTCTCCTTCTGCTTGAAAATTGCTCAGTCACTCCTTTCTCCATGCCTCGTCTTTCTCACCTCCGTCGTCCCAACTTTCCTTCTGATCCTTTCAACGTCTCTCCACTTCCACTTCACCTCCTCCTTCCAAGACTTTCTTTTCTTTCCTTCGTATCGCTCTCATGTCCCGATCAGATTTCACTTTCTCCTTCTCCGTTCGCCACGTTGGTCTTGTAATAGCCCTCTGTCCAAGAAGCAGAGAGGAGTCAGTTGTCTCTCCCTTATCACCTTTTTTTCGCCACCTCCTCTCTGGCTTCCCTGGCTTTTCTTCTTCTCCCACCAGTTCTTGTCTTATTTCAATCTCCACCTTTCAGCTTCCTAGAACCATTCACTTCCAACTTATACCCCCTCTCCTTCAGTCTCTTTCCGTCTGTAAAAGATGCTGAATCACAGCTCTTTCTTACTGTCTCGCCGCCTGTACTATGGGGTTATCCCCCCTCATCGGAGCTCTTTTTTATTCTCGGAAACAAGTTCAAACTTACTTTTGGCAAATCATCACGGTTGCAACTTTGGGGTTTTAACGTCAATGACACTTTCTGTTGATAATCTTCTCACTTCCTCCTCATTCACAGTTCAGCCATGGCCTCAGGTCTGCCATAATAAAATGACAGAAACTTTCACTTCAGGTTTTCAGGGGTTTCCCTTCTTGCCGGCTGGCGATCGCGTTTTGCCTCACCTTCTTCCAGGCTTCCCCTCTTCTCCGCTTGGCTTTCCAGGCTCCTCATGCCCTGAAAGGTCCCCAAAAGTGAAAGAATTGGATCCAGAGATGGAGACCGCTCTCCCTTCACCCTTTCACCAAGGCATCACCGCCGGAAGTCCTCTGGCCAGCAGTTCCAGCATCATTAAACCTCTGAGCCAGTGCATCCCCCTCATTAAAAACGTTTCATTACCAACAAAGTACCAACTTCAGCGTATGTGGTTGCTCCCTGTTTTTACATATGGTCGTTTTTATCATGTACACACACAATAAAAACTAATATAAACTAAAATGTAAAGTAAAAAATAAATAATAGGAAGTGCAGAAAAGAAAAAAATAGAAAAGGAAGAAAAAAAAACAAAATTGTAACAAAAAGAAGAGAAATATATAAAAATATGACTTCCCCCTTCATTACAATATATATAAACAATTTTAATAACTTACCACATTATTTAACATATTTGGTTCTGGTTGGGGTTGGCCCCATCTTCTGTGTACCATTTCTTCCCCGAAAGTCCTCGGTCGGTATTTATGTCAAAGATCTCTCCTGCAATGAAATTTGGGAAGAATCTTTTGCTCTTCAAGGTCTTAAGGGAACATCTTTCCCAGTCCTTCTTGGAAGTGCTGTGATTGGATGGTTGAGTTTACACTCAAAAAGTTTTAACTTCTCCAGTAAAAGCTGGTGATTATATTTTCTCTGTAAATGAAGCTTGATTAGTTTTAATATTTGTATTCTTAGCACGTGGTATCAGCTCAAGCCACTTTAATTGGGTCAAAACCTGCATTCATGGATCGCAGCCTTCATTAGATTATTGTACAAAATTTCAGTCGGAGTAGCATAATCCTAAAACACATCTGGCCCTTTGGCTGTTCCTGTCCAGCCCGCATGAGGTTAATTGGAAATTAACAGTCCCAGTTTCTCTTGTGGCCCTCTGAGAAAATTAATTGCCCAACCTTGCTTTAACCTTAACCCTACCTTGATACCTTGATAGAAGAGGATGCCCTGAACATCTATAATTTTATTTTGACATCTTTTCTGCTTTTACAGATGCCATTCTTCTCTGTAAGCTCAATTATTTAGCATCTCATTTTAAAGACACAGAATGTAATATAAAGCATATTGGACCCCTGGATAGAATAAGGGAATGGGGAAGAAATAAATAGGCTTTCTTATAAATATTTGGGGGGAAAATATGTATCTGAGGATTCAGCCAAAAGTCTGAAAAGGGAGGGATGTTATTTGTGGTTGAGTGAAACAGGAGATACTGGTCTAAAAGACTCTTGACGTGCCACTGAATCTTTCCCCCTTCTAGATCCCAGCCTGACCAAGCCTTCCATCCAGATTATAAATGAAGAACAAGATGCTCCAGAAGCAATCGTCTCCATACAGTGCAAGGCGACAGAAACAGATCTGATTTTTGCTCTTCTGAAATCAGGGAAACAGATAGACTGCAAAGCTGCAGAGCCAGGGGAAAAGGCGGTGAATTTTTCTCACCATTGGATAAAGTTGGAAGAGATACAGAATTATACCTGCCAGTACAAAACCAGGCCCTTTGTCTGGTCAGTGCCAAGTGACCCAGTGGAGAGGCCTTGGGAAGGTAGGATGTCAAAGTAGCACATTTCATTTTCCCCATTTGCCCTGTCAGAGAAAGAGACAGAAACAGACTGGATTTCTGGAAGACCTGGAGAACCAGGGCAGTGGATATTGGACACATTGTCTGCACAATGTGGTGGACACACACATCTGAATATGAGTAGGAATAGGTGGGCCTGTGTCTACCTTGGGATGTTTGAAAATGTTTTGTGGGTGCCATCAAGTAAAGGTAGAAAGACATAAATATTGACAGATAGACTAAGAGCTAGACTTCCCATTTTTTTAATAGGCTATGGAAAGTAAATTAATAAACGTAAGGTACTGAGAAAAAGCTAGAGAAGAGATAGTAGGCACAAATTCTGATATGGACCAGAGGCTTATTTGCATTGCTCAGTTATTCCATCACCAGATTATAACAGATCATAAAAATGGTACACATTATAGGCTATTAATCAAATAGTGAGCCATTTGTGATGATTGTTTGGATTAACCATAAAATGAGAAAGTTTTGTTAATGATAATGATAATAATTATGGTGGAGGTGGAGGTGGTGGTGGTATTGGAGGAGTTATCCCTTGACATCAACTGCTCAAATTATTTTACCCATGACAACAAAGTGCTCTCAAGAAAACATGGAAAGGGTGAGCAATGTATATATTCTTTTCTGCAGGGAGGGGGAAGGAGAAAGCCTTTGGTCACAGTGGGATCTGCAGTAGCTTCAGCTGCAGCTTTTACCAGTCCCCCTGATCACATGACCAGCTTTAGATGGACCTCCAAGCATGGAAGTGTGCCAAGAGAGAAACAAAAATAGAGTCCTTGCTGCTCTGGGGCTAGTTGTTTAGATGTCACATTACCCAAATACTATAGGTAACATCATCAACTGACTGAGTGTAAGGATTGCTTCAGTAGCTTGCCCTGCCTGTTTTGGTGGGTGGGTGGTTTTCTTCTTAATAGTTTTTTGATTAGGGTATTGTTTTCTGCTTTGCTTGATTGTTTGTCTGGTGTTAATCCCTGCTTATCTCAGTGCTGGCTGCTAGAGAGAATATGTTCTGAAATAGAAATGGAAATAGAAATAGAAAGAAATAGAAATAGAACAGAATTGCTTTATTGGCCAAGTGTGGTTGGACACACACAAGGAATTTGCTGCTGGTACAAAAGATCAAAATGTACATATATAAATAATAAGTCATAGGTCATGATTATAATTATGATTATGCTCATAATCCTTCTTATCTTGAATCAAACAACCAAGCTCAGAGAGCACCAAGGACTCTACAATTCAACCCGACCTCAAGAAAAACACAGCTGTGCAACTTGCATAAATTGTTAAATGTTGCATTGTCTGTAAATTGGGGAAAAAATGGATTTTAAAACTGACAGACAGCTCTAGTATTCTTGGTAGCAGATGATTGATAGTAATGAGCTGGTGAGTGGAGAAGAAGTTCAAAAGCTATTTTATTGGAATGGTTAAGATGGTGGATTATAAACTAAGTTGGTTATAAATTCTAGTCCTCCTTTAGGTGCAGAAGCGTAACTAGGTAACTTTGGACCAGTCCATCTGCCTTATGCCAATTCACTTCTTAGGGTTGCTCATATGGGAAGAGGGAGCATTGTGTACTTTGCCTTAAATTGTATTAAATAAAGTCAGGATATTAATGAAATAAATAAACTAGAAAAGGCCACCATTGTTTTCCAGTATTATTTGGCTGGAATCTTTAAGAGACTGTTAAGACACTGGAAACCAGGGAAGTTGAGAAGATGAATAAATTGGGTGGACTGGTCTGGTAAAAAGATCACAATAATAGTTATCCATCACCAACTCTGCATTTATTAGATATCATTATTACTCTTCTAATCAAGATGTCTATGGCTTTACAGGTAAATCCTTAATAACTCTATGGACAAGTATTGCTGCATGCCTTTTCTTTCTGACTCTCCTCCTCCTGGTGCTTATCCTCATTTTATACAGAAAAAGAAAAAAAGGTAAGAGATATACGGATTGGTAGAGGAGAATATTTGTAGCTCAGGTTCGAAATGAGCTTGGTTGTTTTCTGGCAGACGTTTCATTATCCAAACTAGGTAATATCATCAGTGCCAGCAGAAGGAGCACCAAAGACTCCCTTAAGGACAGATTGCTTTACAGCAGCCGAGGATAAGGCTATGCCCCTCTGTCTGCTTAACAGTCTCACTTGATTAAAAACTTATCCATACTTCAGGTAGTCCTCAACCTACGACCACAATTGAGCCCAACGTTTATATTGCAAAGCGAAATATTTGTTCAGTGAATTTTGCCTCATTTTATGACCTTTCTTGCCACAGGTGTTAAATGAATCACTGCAGCTGTTAAGTTAGTATCATGGTTGTTAAGTGGATCTGGCTTCCCCCTTGACTTTGCTTGCCAGAAGGTAGCAAAAGGAAACACACGACTCTGGGACACTGCAACCGTCATAAATATGAATCAGTTGCCAAGCATCTGAATTTTGATTGCATGACCTTGGGGATGCTGAAAAAATGGTCCTAAGTCCTTTTTCAGCATGGTTTTATGAGAAAGAGAACTGTTTTCTTTAAAACTGAAATGAGATATTAACAGCAAGGAAACAGGTTGCAGAAAGCACAACAGAGAATTCTATCTGTTACCTTTGGAGCAGCTTAGCACCAGGTGTAGAAGCAGAAATGGCTCCAAACCAGGGGTGGGATTCCACCAGTATAACAACCGGTTCAGCGATCGCTGTGGACGCGTGCTCCGCATTTAGAAAAGCTCAAATTCCCACCTTGTAATGCAGTTCCTGTGAATCAAACAGCTGAGGCGTGGCAAACCGCTTGGCCGCGCCAATCAGTTGTGCTCTAAAAACAGGAAATAAGACCAGGGGCAGGTGGGAGGGCCCACATGCCAGTTGCAGCGAACCAGTTTGGAGCCAGGTGATCATCGGAACAAGGGGTTCACCTAATCCAGTCCAAACCAGTGGAATCGAACCCCTGCTCCAAACTGATTTTATTCAGGAAGAAAGTTAAATCTGTATTGTTCCAGCAGCTTTTAGTCCTTAACTGGGTTCAGGTAACCACCACAGGTAGTTTTGGTATTATTGCTATTATCATTTAATTATTGTATTTTGCAACTATTGTTTGCTGCTATAGCTTGGATTATTAGTCCATAAATATTACAAATACATTAAATCGATGTAAAGGAAGATCTAAGGAATCCCTTTAGCGATCATTTTTTGGTGAATCAGTACAGGGGGTCCTCAACCCTAAAATTTCAGTAGCTAAGTGAGACGTTTGTTAAGTGAGTTTTGTCCAATTTTACGACTTTTCTTGCCACAGTTGTTAAGTGAATCACCACAGTTGTTAAGATAGCAGCAGGTTTACAAAATGAATCTGGCTTCCCCATTGATTTTGTTTGTCAAAAGTTCGCAAAAGTTGATCACATGACCCCAGGACACTACAATCTATCATAAATATGAGTCATTTGCCAAGCATCTGAATTTTGATTACATGACAATGGGGAGGCTACAATGGTTTTAAGTGTGAAAAATGGTCATAGTGCCATTATAACTTTGAACGGTTACTAAATGAACTGTTGGAAGTTGAGGACTACTTGTATTTAATACTGAACTGCCGATAATGCAAGTTTAGTCCACTTTGCAGGTTGTAAGGGATGTAAAAAGCGGGAACAGAGTGGGACAACCTACTACCATCTCCATCTTTCAAACAAGGAATTTTAAGAAGGGGACATGAATTATTTCTCTTTTAGAGATCTCCCTTCCCATCGCTGTCCTTAAAACCCACCCCAAAATTCTACCCCATTCCTTTATCGTGAAGACACCAAATTGAACAACATCCTTCAATCTTCCAGAAGACTGGAACCTTTCCAACTATAGGATTCCATAATTTTGTTGGAAAATTCAATACATTTCTGTGGATACAGAATACAGAAACCAATGTAAAATGTATCTTTCCGATTGCAGAAATCTCCTAATGCAGATTACATGCAGCCAGACAATTAAGACCAGGAGCTTGGGTGTAGAAAATAAACCAACATTTATCATTTAAAATAAACCAAAGAAAGATTTTTCACAAGATCTTTTTGACTTACAGGCTCTGTCGCCACAGAAAGCAATGTACCAGCCAAGATGGTAAGAAACATTCTCTGCACATACTAGTTCTATAACTGTCAACATGTCGTCCATGAATCTATAGGTCATAAATCAAGATGACAGGGTTAATTTTTATTTTTAAAACAAGGGTTTAAAGATGAGTTTCACAAAAGGCAAGGAAAATTATCTTGGCTTTAAGAAAACCTTAACATTTCATATTAGACAATATTTTTACTGGGTCTACTAAGCGATCACAAGCAGTGTGCAAGTTTTCAAGGTAAGTTTGAATGTCAGAAAAGGAATGAAACAAGGCTGTATACTCTCTCCTTATTATTCAACTCGATGCTGAATAAATATTGAAAAAGTCTGGATTAGAAGAAGATGGTTTTAAAACTGGAAGAAGAAACATCAATAACCTGTGCTACGCTGGCAACCTTATTTCTGGTAGCTAAAAATGCAAATGATCTTCAAACTGTAATAACAAAAGGCAAGGGGTACAGTAAAAAAGATGAAACTATGATGTAATATAAAGAAGAACATGCTAATGGCAATAAGCAGCCAGACATAAGATTTGCAACAAAGATATTGAAGTGATGGATAGCTTCTGCCTTTTAGGATCAATCACAGGTAGTCCTCAACTTATGACCACAATTGAGCACAACATTTACATTGCTAAGTAAAAAATTTGTTAAGTGACATTTGCCCCATTTTATGATTTTTCTTGCCACATTTGTTAAGTGAATCACTGCAATTGTTAAATTACTAATATGGTTGTTAGTGAACCTGGTTTTCCCATTGGCTTTGCTTGTCAGAAGTTCATAAATGTGAGTCAGTTGTCAAGCATCCAAATGTAAATCATGTGACCATGGTCATAAGTATGCAAAAATGTCATAAATAACTTTTTTCAGTGCCGTTGTTACCTCAAATGTTCAATAAGCAAACTGTTGTAAGTTGAGAACTACCTGTATTAGCAATAAAGGAACCATCAGTCAACAAATATGCCTCAGACCAGCATTCAGTAAGGAAGCAATGAAGACTTTAGAAAAAAGTCATTCTGGCCAAGATGTGTCTATATCTGTAAAGGTTAGAATTGTGTAAGCAATGTTTTTCTTTGACACCCTATGGAAGTAAACTTTGGACATTGAAGAAGTAGATACTTTTCAACTTTGGTCAAAAGTTGAAATTGAAGAAATAACTTGAAGATGTCAAGAACAGACCAGAAAACATAACAAAAAATAGTTCATAGAACAAATCAACCAAGTATCTTAAGTCACCAAAAATCATGTTTGGACCACATTATATAAAAACCCAACCTTACTGAGAAGTCCATAATGCTGGGAAACGTAGAAGGAAAGAGAAAAGGACTACCATTAACACTTTGGATGGACTTAACTACAATAATGATGGTGTACCATGAGGCTTCCAACACTGCTTATCTCTAGTGGCTGCTTAAGGATGAACAATCCATAACTACAGTGCAGGTAACTAGATTCTGCCCAGCAGCACTGGAGATTCATCAGAAACATGTGTCTAATCCATCACAGCTATTTTACACAACAAATGTGGCAAACCCTTTGCACTGCTTATTCCAGAGGGTCTTCAAACTTGACAGCTTTAAGACTTGTGGACTTCAACTCCCAGTATTCCTCCTCCAGTCGTATTAGGAATTCTGGGAGTTGAAGTCCACAAGTCTTAAACTTGCCAAGTTTGAAGACCCTTGGCTTATTCCTTTCCCTTTTAGTAATAAACTGACAACGGGCCACAGAATTTATGAATTTTAATTTTAGTATAGTTAGACCATGTATGATTGACAGACTGGATTTTATCTTAGGTTTTAGTTGTTATTTATTATTTCATACTAGATTTTTTAATTGCATATTTACTGAGTGTTTTTATTTGTTCTGGTCCCTGATCTATGTCTGTAATAAACTGAATTGAATTGAACTGATGCACCATGAGTGGATCTGAAGGGTAAAGTTGGGGATATATCCTGGAAAAGGTTAATTAATGCGATCACTAAGAGTTTATGGCATTTAATCGATCAAGGGGCCAAAAAAATGGCACTGAAAGACATACTTAATTTCCAAATCCATTTCTCCAACACATCACCAAATAACGGTTTTCAGTATCTAACTCACTTCAAGGTATATGATTAATCTGCAAAAGTTCTAATGATCTCAATCCTGGAAGTTTTCTTCATGACTTCTCCAAACATTCATTATTGTTTGGGGTAAAATTCTGCGTAGTGATGAAAATGTGCAATTAAATTTGCTAACTCAGAACAAAGCATGTGGCCACTTCTGCTTTCTTCACTGTTTTTTATAAGATGAATTCAAAATGAGTTCCTGTATAACTCCAGATTATATAATTAGGATAACTGAAAGAAACCATATGATCAAGAGTCCTGCATATAGAATTTTGAGAAAATTAGCCATCAATAATGCTCTTGAAGGAATGTGTGTGTGTGTGTGTGTGTGTACACAAACACAAACAAACATACATACATATCAGCATCCTAACCACCACACCAGATAGCTCTCAATGAATATAATGAATGTTGTTGATTCATAATTTTTTAAATTGTGATCTACTTTGAATAGCCAAGCCAACCTTAGGTTTCTATTGGGAGAACATGGAGACAAGTGACAAAATTTGTGGCATGATATTATTACATAAAACCATCTCTTTTGGCATATGGGGACACCAAAAAACATAAGGATAGTTGGCTGTGAGGGAATGACTGGCCCAAGATCACCCAGATGGTTTTCATGGCCAGGTGGGATTTGAACTCAGAGTCTCTTGCTTTCTAGGCCATGCCTTAACCATTAAACCAGACCGGCTCTTGTTTAAGTATCAGTATCCCACCATTATTAAGCTGTTCAGGAGAGGCCACGCTTAGCATTTTTCAAAGCACACTTAAAGGCTTCTGTTGAAACATTAGCAAAAACACTGCACTCTCAATGTCTTTCTTTTGTTCTCAACAGCACTTAAACCTTCCCATGGAGGAAACCCCTGATGAAGTTTCTTATGCTACAATAAACCACAATTCACTGAAAATCCTTTATGATACAGCCCCTGAATCCTGTGTCTATGCAAACGTGTCCCCAAAAAGCACTAAGGAGATCCAATAGGGAAGGCTATTGAGAAGAGAAGATCATTGTTGGTGAACCCATCTATACTACAGATATCCACATTCAGATCATCTTGTGTATACACATCCTCCTTCCTCTTTAACAGTTTTAATTGTTCAATCTCAGAGGTACGCTGGGTTCAGGCAAGCACATAAGTGTCTTCACAAGCAGATTATTATAATACCCAATATTGAAAATTGAATCCTGGCATCCCGTAGCTCAAGTCCAATTTTTTTTTTTCCAGGACTGAAAGGTTTTTAAATACCCCGTGGCATTGTCTCTTACCCTCCTAAAGTAATGCCATCTTTCTCGTCTCGGGAGTTAGATCTGATAATCTGATCACATCTGGTACAATAATGTGAACATATTCTTGAAAAAATAAAGTGAAAGGAAGTTGACCTACCATGGCAATATGTAGAGGAATTACAAACACAGAACAGAGTTGGAAGGGACCTTGGAGGTCATCTAGTCCAACTCCCTGCACAAGAAGGAGAGTCTATATGATTTCAGACAGTGGCTGTCCAGTCCCTTCTTCAAAACTTCCAGTGATGTGGAACTCACAACTTCTGAAGGGAAGGCATTCAGCTGGTTGATACAAAACTGGTTGAAACGAAAATTAACTTCTCCCTAATTCCCATTAAAATGTATATGGCTTAAGTTAAGTGTGGGTAACTCAACTAATTGTTTCCCAACGACTAAAATATTTCTGCTTTTTTTCAACCCAGTGTTTTCCAGCTGCATCTTTTGTCAGCTAAGAACTACCCAAATTGAGCAATGTAACATTAGGAGAACCCCAGAGCAGAGAAGTTGCGCTGTAATGTTTTAAAATATTATAGTGTTAGTGTTACTGATGACAGTGATAATGATGACCTTCCATCCTCCTTTATTAGCCCCCTCTCTTTGTAAGTGTTCCTGCAACACTAATGTTTTAACAACATGGACGAGGGAAGGACAATTGCTTGGTGACAAGACAAATTCAAGTTCATAGGGGGAAACTATATCATAGGATATAATTTTTAAACTGTAAAGGGGGAAAACAGGAGTAATTTGAGGTTCCTTCTTTTGGCTTTGTTGAAATTCTGTGTGTGTTCCTGATAATGGAAATTGAATCTGAGCAGGATTAGTGAAACAAGTTTTGTGACTAACAAGCATATACAGGTAGAATGTGCAAGGCCTTTACCTAGCTAACTACATCTACCAGATGGAAGTTAGAGCATGGGATCTGTGGATGTGGGAAGAAGAGCAGAAGAAAGTGGCCCAAGATTTGCGGTTTCATAGACAAACAGCAGGCAAAGTGTTGGACAAAGAGTACAACTCTGACACGAATGACATCGAGCTGGCCATTCCCACCCTGGCCCCCCGAGGTCAAACACAACTCTGATGCGGCCCTCAATGAAATTGAGTTTGACACCCCTGGTCTAACACTTTCAAACACCACCTCCTTGTGGTAAATCTGTCAGTGCCATCGGATTTACACTACTAAGACATGGTTGACACATGCTCCTCTGAAGAACCTCCATTGAAAGTTTGTCTTCCAATGAGGACAAAAAAAGTATTTCATGGAACCCCACTTAAAGTCAACTTCATAGTTCTTACTTGGCCTTTCAGTCCAGATCTCAAAGGAGCAGTTGGAGAACAAGTAAATTGCCTTACTGAGATCTTGCCAGCTGGAGCTGGCACACAGGGAAGGACAGCGAATACTAGCTTTTGAACTCTTAAATCCTGCAAAACTTGTTACTGAACCTACATTTGAAATTCTTCCTTTTTATTTCTGGTTTTCTTTTTTCTAAAAAAAAAATGGAGTCACTTTAAGTGGGGAGCCTGAAGCTTAGAATACTGGCTATGCCTTACAGTGACTTCAAATCGTTATTACGGATGTAGATCGCTATATTATAAAGTCCTACTCTAAAATTGAAAGAGAAAACTGGTCTCACCATAGGAGACCAGCAGCTTCAGATTGCCATAGAGAAGAGCCCCAAGTAATAAATAATGAAGACTGAGATATATTTCCAAGATGTTAAATCAAATTGAACGGGTACAAAGATCTACTAGACTTTTAGACTAGACTAGCACAAGTTTACTAGTCTGTAAAGCAGTGTTTCTCAACCATGGTGACAATAAGATGTAGAGAGTTTAGGTCCCATAATTCCCCAGACAGCATGGTTAAGGAATTCTGGGAGTTAAAATCCATACATCTTAATGTTGCCAAGGTTGAACAACAATATCACAAAATAAAGGTGTTTTTTTTTCAGTTGAAATCCAAATCTGGTGAACACCTATAATTTTCTTTCAAAGCATGGATTTGTTTTTGCCATAGTTTTTTTCTGGGGAAGTTGCTTTCAACTATTCTATCTAGCCTTCGGCCCTAGGACTCCTCGTAGCCTTTCATCCAGATACTGATTAGATTGATTTTTGCTTAGCTTTTTGAGTACTGACAAATTCACTAGCCTCAGCTATTGTGACATGTTTAACATGTAAATAAACCAAATGTTACTGAAGCAATATCAATATCTTATGACTAATCCAGTAAATGAAAATTTGGGAACTTCTGGAACTTCTCCATTCTCAGAAATGAGATATGTCCACATTAGTATTCATTATTACAGTTGTACTATTCCTGTTTTATATTATCCTGTTGTGTTTTATCCTTGACAATCTGAAAAATTGCTGAGATGTGGCTGACTGTAATTTAATAAAGACATAAATAACATGTTAAAGAGTGAGTCCTTCATCATGATTCTGAGGGGGTTGGTATCTTAATGCAAAATGCAAATATCATTTCCTTTGTCCAGGCCAGATTTCCAAGCCCCCAATTCAATGAGATCCCGTCCCAAGGCATGCCTGAAAAATGTCCACATCATCTAAAACAGAGATGGGGAGCTATGGCCCCTTTATGACTTGTGGACTTCAACTCCCAGGATTCCTGAGGCAGCCATGCTGGCTCAGGAATTCTGGGAGTTGAAGTCCACATGTCATAAAAGAGCCATAGTTCCCCACCCCCAATCTAAAATAGAATAGAATAGAAAAGAATAGAAAAGAAGACTTTACTTGCCTGCAGCATTCTTTTTGACAAGAAAAATTCCAATCAGAGAAGCATCAACATTCCCCATTAAAACTATTTTATTTAAGATGGGAGTAGGACATTTCTCAGCTTTCAGGTCCTTGCCTTCTAATCCATCTGTCCAGATGCTGTTTTGGCTAATATGTCATTTTATCTGTTATTTAATTCCAAGACTTTTGAAAAGTTTTAACTCAGCTATCCAATTTCATGGTCTCCAACCTCATTTCTATCTGTGGACATCATTCTACTTCCTGCCAAAATCTCCTTACTTTACCTTAATGTTTCCCTACTCCTAGCCTTGGTCTTGAGATATAGTAGTGTTGTCAGAAAGATGCAAAGAAGGCTGTTTTTTAAACCACTTACATTATATTATCCATATGCCAGGTGTCAGGTTATAATCAATCTGAGCAGTCTTGGATCCAAATGAATATGAGATAAGGCTGCCTACTTAATTAGATACAGCACAGATTCTAATTTTTTCTTTTTAAAAAATCACTAGCACAGTCACTTAATAGACAAAAGTAGGAACTGTATGCCAACACTTTTAAACATATCTTTTTTCGTAATTAGGAAATGAGAAGGATCTCCCCCCCCCCCCCCCCCACAAAGGAAGTACCAACCAGTACCAAAATGAGATGCTGTATGGGCAGGGATTCGAAGTCAAATGCATCAATAAACTCTGCTTACTGCAAACACAAGAAAAGAAAAATCCTGACAACTGCAAAAACCCAAATGCAAATGGGCAAAGTAAAACTCAGTGTTTATGCTTCTTTCTCTTGCTGCTATAACACAATCTTGTTTCTCAACCTTGTTAACTGGAAGATGTATGGATTTCAGCACTCAGAATTCCCCAGACAGCATTAGGGATCTCATAAGGTTCAGAAACAGTCCAATACACCAAGAGCCTATCGCTTTAAGGCAGGAGGAAGTGTTGACATCTCTCCCTTATTATTGCATTCAAATTTCAGCCTGTTCACTTCTGACTTCGTCAGACTGAGTTGTCATCCCTTTTCAAGATGGAAACTATTATTTTGACATGCAAATCCATTTTGTTAGTTTATCTTTCAGTAAGTGAAAGAATTTAGCTCACACTGTCTGGGCTGGGATTGTCCCTGATGTCTCTCTGCTGCTAAGCTTCACAATGTACATTCACCATAAGCATGAGATAAAACCTCCTAGCATTTAACTTTCAACAGACTAAAGTTCTGGAAAAAAAAAAAGAACCCAAACAGAAGGCAACAAAGCAAAACATAAATATATGATAAAAGGGCGCCGGCCAAAAGGCTTGAGTATATCTCATAAGAAATTACATCAGAAGGAAGCTGCATTTTAAAATTTGCAACGAGGAACATTTATAAAGTGTGTCCACAAACAACCTCTTAAAAATAGCCGGTTCCAAGACAATTTACATTAACAGTATTCACAGGTAAGATGCATAATGCAGCCTCTTTATGTCACAAATTGCTATGTACACATTTTCAAAATCTCTAGAAAAATGCTTGGCATTCATATTAATATATAGTAGAACCTCTAGTCATGAACGCTTCTGACCACGACCAAATCGGGTTCCGGCCAAAAAATTCACAAAACTTTTGAATCTGATCACAAACACATACTGAGGTAGCGATCAAACACGACCCCTGACCCAGAAATTCCTGAAGATGAAACATTAGAAGATGAAGAAATTGCCAACGTTATGGAATGAATTATGGTCGTGACCAGAGGTTCTACTGTAGATAGTAAAGCAGACAGTATTTCAGTAATTTGCACATTTGTACGAGTCCTTATTCAGTTCAAAATATTTTTTAAAAATAGTTTTTATTGAAATTAAGTTTTAAAAACATTGAGCATGGTAGTCTTTTTGACATTTATCTCAGTCTTTCCATTATTATATGAGCAAAATATCAAACAATACAAACATTTATATACATATATACAGCTATATATAATTCTATAATTCTGAAATATCTCACTCCTTCAGTTCTAACGTCATACTATCTAACTCAGCATGCTGAAAAATCTTTTCTATTTTTGCTTCATCATTCAGTATTCCTTTTAACTTCCATGTTTGGGCAATTGATAATCTTGCAGTTGTAATAGCATGAATGATTAAGTAAATATCTGCTTTTTTGAAATTCTCAT